TAAAGACATCGCCCGACGTCATTTTACTGACATCGGAACAACGTCGGAATAGGTCTTTTGACATCGCTGATGAAAATCGTACGTAAATCCGACGTCGGATTGACGTCGGGTGCCCACTGGGTAAGGATCAATTATCTTTAATAAATTGGAATCATATAAACAGTTCGTTTGAAGCTAATGAAGTATACGATACATTCTTTCAAACTTTCTATGAAATATATGATGTAAATTTTCCAAAACGTGAGTTTATTAAAACAAATAAAAGTTTAAAGTCACCATGGGTCAATAAAAATCTTAGGAAATCCTCAAAAATAAAGCAAAAACTGTATATAAAGTACTTAAAAAAACCAACACTAGAAAATAAAACTATTTATAAAAATTATGCTAAAATGTTTGAAAGTCAAAGAAAAAAATTTAAAAAAAGATATTACTATGATTTACTAGAAAAATATAAACATAATTCAAAACGCACATGGCAAATTATAAGTCAAATTACTGGAAATAGTAAATTAAAATTATGCTCTATACCTAACACTATAAAAGTTGATGGTATATTTTTGTATGAACCCAAACAAATTGCAAGAGAATTAAATAAATATTTCGTGTCTGTTGGCCCAAACTTAGCTAAAAATATTCCAAATATGATTAATCCAATAAATAATTACGTGTTTCCATTAATCTCTAGTTTAAATAAATTTGAAGTATCTTCTTCAAAATTTGAAAGTGCTTTTAAAATGCTTAAAACTAATAAAGCAGTTGGTCCTGATGATATAAATTGTAATATAGTCATAGATTCATACGATACCATAAAACATATTCTTTTTAAAGTTTTTAAATGTTCTATTAATCAAGGAATTTTCCCCGATCAATTGAAAATAGCCAAAATAACGCCTGTATTTAAAGGAGGTGAACCGTCTAATGTCAGTAATTATCGACCAATATCTATCCTCTCTGTTTTTTCAAAAATTTTAGAAAGAATTTTGTTTAATCAAATATCTAATCATCTTGCTATTAATAATATACTTTACATAAACCAATATGGTTTTAAAAGAAATAACTCAACTGAACATGCAATAGTTCATCTTACTCGTAGTATAATTGATTCTTTCGAAAAGTCAGAGTTCACTTTAGGCGTCTTTATAGACTTATCTAAGGCTTTCGACACAATTGACCATGAAATACTGTTTAAAAAACTTGAACATTATGGTATCATCGGTAATGCTTTAAAACTACTAAAAAGCTATTTAAAACATCGCAAACAATTTGTCTATATCGACGGATCTTCTTCACAAGATTATTTAAATATAGATTATCTAAATATAACCTGTGGAGTTCCACAGGGATCTATACTAGGGCCCTTATTATTTCTAATTTATGTTAACGATCTCCATGAAGTCTCAAAATTAACAACTATAATGTTTGCTGATGATACAAACCTATTCATATCAAATAATAACATCGACAAACTTTTTTATGATATGAACATTGAACTAATAAAAATATCTGACTGGTTTAAGTTAAATAAACTTTCACTCAACATTGATAAAACTAAATGGATTTTCTTTCATCCACGATCTAAAAAACATTTACTTCCAAGTAATATGCCTCTTCTTCATATTGATAATGTTCAAATAAAAAGAGTAGTTTTCACAAATTTTCTAGGTATCATTGTTGATGAAAATCATGGAAGAATCACATCGGACATCTATGCAACAAAATTGCAAAAAGCATTGGAGTTTTATATAAAGCAAGAAGCGTTTTAAACAAACATTCACTAACTCAACTATATTACTCTTTCATACACTGTCATATTAATTATGCTAATATTGCATGGGGTAGTACCCATAAAAGTAAATTAAAGCCACTTTATTGTCAGCAGAAGCATATTGCACGTATTATAAATTTCAAAAATCGTTTTACTCACTCAAGGTCACTTTTATTTAACATGAATGTTTTCAATATATATCAAGTAAATGTTTATAATGTTCTTTGTTTTATGTTTAAATGTAAAACCAACTCTTCTCCAGCTTCCTTTTTTGATTTATATTCTTTAAAAGAAAAAAACAAATATTCTTTAAGAAATGATAATTTTATTAAACAACCAAAATTTCAAACAAACTTTGGTAAATTTTGCATTTCTTTTCGTGGAGCTTTTTTATGGAACCAAATAATTTTAAAAATTTTGATTTTTCTCATGAATGGAATTATTATATGTTCAAACAAAAACTAAAAAAAGTAATATTCTCAATTGAAAATATATTTATATACTTTTAATTTTACCCAGTTTTGTCAACACTCATTTATATTTTACTTTTATACAATATTGATTTAAAGTTTATGTCAGAAGCTGTAGTTAAACATCATTATTTGAATTTTGTTAAAAGTTCCACTGACATTATTTGTACAGTAGGCATTTATTATTTACTTGTTTACTTTAATTTTTATTTTATTTCGTAATTTTGTAAATAATTTGTATGACGAACGGTATATACTTTTAATATTGAATTTAATTTTGTAATGAAAAATATATATATATATATATATATTATTATTATTAAAAAAAAAACACAAAAAAAAAAAACACAAAAAAAAAAAAAAATACAAAAAAAAATTTTGATGTATGTTAAAAATATTGCTGTGTGAGTCTCTAGTAAATATAAATCTACATTCGTAACTTTGATGCGCATTGTTTCGGTTTTATTGACATGATTAATAAAAGTTGAGTTTGAATTAAAATCCACTTGTTTTTATTAGTTTCTTTTCAGTAATATTTCAGATTAAGAGTTTATGGTACCATTTTTGCATGAATAAAAACATGAGTCTTATATTTGATGCATAGTGTAAAGTTAGTTCTGTGAATCAGGCATGCGCAGTATATAAAAGTTTGAAAAAAAAAAAGTTTCAATTATTGATTAAATCACAACAACAAGTTGTAGTTTTTTTTTTTTTTTTAGAACACCAAATACAGTACAACCTAATAGCTACAACTTAATAGCTATAACCAAATACAGTGCAACCTAATAGCTACAACCTAATAGCTACAACCAAATACAGTACAACCTAATAGCTACAACCTAATAGCTACAACCAAATACAGTACAACCTAATAGCTACAACCTAACAGCTACAACCAAATACAGTACAACCTAATAGCTACAACCTAATAGCTACAACCAAATACAGTACAACCTAATTGCTACAACCAGTATGAACAATGTGCTCCCAGTGGGAAATGAGCTAGCAACTAGCTAGCGACTAGCTAGCGACTAGCTAGCGACTAGCTAGCGACTAGCTAGCGACTAGCTAGCGACTAGCTAGCGACTAGCTAGCGACTAGCTAGCGACTAGCTAGCGACTAGCTAGCGACTAGCTAGCGACTAGCTAGCGACTAGCTAGCGACTAGCTAGCGACTAGCTAGCGACTAGCTAGCTCTATAGCAATTTTCTAGCGATTTTTTTTTTCTCATTTTTATTTTTTGCTAATGTTTTTAACATCTTTAAAAATTCGATTTTTAGTGTTTTTGTCTATTATAACTATGAAAATAATTGTACTTTAAACATTGCGATTTTGTAGCAATGTGTTGCTATCTACACATTGTAGCTTTGCAGCTAGCTACAAAATATCTACAAATCTATAGCTGGTTGATAGCTACATATCAAAATTTTTAAGACAACGATTTTATTACGATATGACGCTAGGTACAATAGCCAGTGGATCTTCAGCTTGTTAAGTTAGCTGTCCTCGTAGCCAAATCGCTGTCTTTATCTTTAAAAATACTGATAGCTTTTCGCTAACTTAAATAAGCTAGCGATCCTCGTGGCCAAATCTCTCTCTTTATCGTAACGATTCTAGCTAGCTATTCGCTTGCCGATTTCCCACCGGGCTGTCTTTTCAAGAATTGTAATACTATTTTCAACAGTAACAGATAATAATTCTACTGAATTGTGAAAAGCACTATTACTCTATTCGCACTAACTGTTGTATCAAGGTATTTTTTATGGAATTTTTTATGCTCTTTGCAACAACTACAACAATGAGTTTTTATATAAAAATACAAAATAAAAGATTTACTAAATATAAATAACAATATTATTTACTAAGAAAAAAGGCTTTGAAATACAACTTTTTTTTTTTAATAATTTAAATTATCCATTGATATTAAACTCTCTTGATAAATAATGAAATAATTAACAACAGCGCATTATTATTCAAAATACTCCTTATATTTTTAATACCTCTGGATAATTGAAAACATCAAAAAACATAGCATCATTATTCAAAGTAAGTTTAATATTTAGGTTATGATACTTTGTTACTTCAATAGCCTGATTACTCAGAGATAATTTTAGGATTCGTGTATTTTGAAATAGCTTTGTTCTCATTTATAAATAAAAATAGATATTTGAAAAACTAATTACTTAATTACATATTTTAGTTAATATAGTTAATGATGTATCCATCATCCTAGGTATGAAACGATATTGGCGTAACATTGGTGCGATTTTGGGTATCTTGACAAATCTTGGCTAAGATATCCAATATAGCGCCAATATTGTCAAGCAATATTACGTCAATATATTCTTACTAATATTGGCAAACAATATTGCGCCAATATTGGCATATCATTATTGTTTTACTATTATTGGAATGTCAATATTGGCGAAGTATTACCATGTTAATATTAATCAATATTGACATGCCAATATTTGTGGAAAATTGTTTGCCAATATTAGCTTAACATTAAACTGTTCATATTGGTCAATGTTTACATTTGTACATATTGGCACGCATGCGTATGATTAAGGGATATTCATAATGTCCTTCAGTTTTCTTAAATAGAAATAGCGTACTAGTGTCTTTTTTTTAAGCCTTGTAGCATATTTTTACGTAAACAGACATCCTTATGTTGTTAATTTTTTACAAAAAAATAAAATTAAATTTTAAAATTAAAATTTTAAGTTATGAAAAAAAAAAAAATGTAAAGAGGTATTTTTAGTTCAACAGAATGAATCACGAGAAAAAGGGATTGTAATTTATTTTGAAACACACTGTATCACGATAAGAATTGGTAGGAGTAATGAAATCCTAATTCAACATTTACGGATTAAATATTAAGAAGAGCTTTTTTTTATTGATTTAAGACAGATTATATTACGAGAAAAAGTGGTTATAATCAATTTAAAACAAATTGCATCACGAGAAGAAGAGAAAAAATATTCCTATACTATAAGTATCAAGATGAAAATAGTAAGTTTACTCTTAAATGAAAATAATTTGAGTTAATTTCATATGTAAGATATACAGTAATGGACAAAACATTTGCAACCAACATCGAACAATGTTATAAAGTGTTTCTAATTTTACATGTCTTAAAAACGAAACGAACTATACTACCACAGCAAGCAGTTTAGGAGTCTGGAGTCATAGCATGCCATGAGCAATCAGCTGAAAAGTGACAGAACACAGGCAGAATTTCGGTGACAAGTGACAAGTACAACTTTTTTGGTTTGTTTCGTTTTCTTAAGTCTGGTCCGTGTCAACGTGACGGAAGTTTTTTTAATAATTAAAGGAAGTTTCCAGAAGTTTGTTTCCAGAAGCATGCAGAAAGTTTCCAGAAGCATGCACAAGCTTCCAGACGTTTCCGGAAGAAGCATCTGAAACCATCCAAAAGTATCCAGAAACATTCAGAAGCATCCAGACGCATCCAGAAGCTTCCAGAAGCATCAAAAAAAAGCATCTAGAATCTTCAAGAACAGGTTCACACAGGTTCATTTTACTATATATGAGACATGTAAACCGACATGTAATTCAGTCAGTATATGGAAGTCAATCAGTCAGTTTTATCAAGACAGTTTATCGAAGTTAGTTTTATCAAAGTGTTTTATAGAAGAACATCAATACAAGAAGTGAAATACAACAAGTGTTTCATTACATCAATACAGTCCACATCAAACCAAGACGTCGTGTTCCACAGAGCATTATTGTATCATTACGAGGTAAATGTAACACAGTAAGCCTTGAGAAGCGTGATTATTTATTTTTTATTATTTTTATGACTTCAATTGCAAAAATGGCTCCCGATAGTCTTGGATTGGAATTAAGAAAGAAAATTATTGGCGATTACGTAAGTGGAATGTCACAAAAAAGTATTTGTGATAAATATTGCGTAAATAAATGGACCGTATCAAGACTATGTTCAAATATCGCTCTACGGGGAAGTTGGCAGCAGATAACAAAAATGGAAGACCGCGTTCCACCACTTCTAGAGAGGATTTTATGATTGTCAGATCCGTCAAGAAGGATCCCTGGATATCATCAGTCGAGATACAAAAGCAATTAGAGCTGCCTGTATCGGACCGAACAATCAGACGACGTGCTGTTGAAGCCGGATTGTTTTCTCGACGCCCTGCAAAGATACCGCTGGCTTAACTAAAGAACCAGAAGAAAAGACTCTTGTCTGCTTTATCTCATATTGTCTGGAATGTGCAGAAATGGCGAACTGACCTGTTCAGTGATGAATTGAAGTTTAACATATTTGGGAGCGATGGCATTTGCCGTGTACGTCGACCGGCCGAAAAACGCCTCAATTTACGTAACTGCCATTAGACCGTAAAGCGTGATGGAGGCAATGTAATGGTTTAAGTGTGTTTTTCTGCTAACGGTCTAGGTCCAATACATCGAAACCATGGAATAATGGATCGTTTCATGTATAAAAATATCATGAAAGATGTTGTTACCTCATGCTGAATGGAATAGAATGCCAATAAAATGGGTTTTTCAGCAAGACAACGATCCGAAACACACTGCAAAACTAGTCAAGCAGTGGTTTTAAGACAACCACTTATCGGTGATGGATTGGTTGCTTCAATCTCCGGATCTCAACATTATTGAGGACCTGTGAGAGATCGTCAACCGCAGAATTAATCGTGAAGGTGTCCGTAATAAGGATCAACTGTTTGAACAAATCCAAAAGGCCTGGGCAGCAATCACACAAAGCTTCATTGATCACCTAATTGAATCTATGCTTTGAAGATGCAAGGCTGTGATCGAAAACAAAGGATTCGCCACGAAATATTGATAGCGAAATACAGCTTGGTCAACATTTTGTGGAGTTGCACTTGTTTTGTCCAGAAGGAAATCAACTTTTTTTAATACTTTTGATTAATTTATTAATTTTCGTGTGCAAATAATGAACTTTGTGATGAATAAAACTTGAAAAACGTTGTCTTTAAACAGTTACATAGTTATTTCTCTAAATTGAAAAGATGCAGCACTTTTATATAAAGAAACTAAATCAGCATTATTTGGTTGCACTTGTTTTCTCTGATACTGTATCTTTTATAGTCTCTTTATTTTGTTAAAGAAATTCATTTTAAGAAATAAATACTTCATAATTTATCCATTACTAAGTTAGTAAATAACTAACTTAAATAAGGTATTAATATTGTTTCTAACTGTTATAAGGTTTTAAATTTATGTATAATATAATTTTATTATTGTTTATATTACAATTTTATTATATACTATAAAAAAAGCACCCCTGCTTAATATCTAATTATATCAACCCTATTATACTGGTAATCCTTCCCATATTTGTTTTATTTAGGTGTTATTTACATATATTTTCTTGAATGGCAGCTTTCTGGCCAAAGAATTGGCAGCTTTCTGGCCACGGCTTTTGATAGAGATGACGAAGACATTGTTGAACCATAACTGAGCAACGCCCATTATTGAGCAATAAAATAAGTATTAGCAAAATAATGAAAGTCAATACCCACTATCTGATAGTGAGAGTATAATGCAGCAGTTTATAAATATTTATACATATTTTTTGTGTTTGTATTTAAATAACCTTGATTTTATTTTGTTATATTTTGGTTTTGGAGCACTCTATATCTTTTTTTTTTTTCATTTGTTTCTGTTTCATATAACTTCAAATAAATTTAATGATTTAAATTTTTTTTTCTTTTTTTTTAAAACGTTCTATGTGCATTATTGTACCGCCAATATTGGCAAAATGTTCAAATGGCAATATTGGCGCAATATTGTTTATATTATTGCCCTAATATTGTAGACAATATTGCCCTAATATTGCGCCAACTAATATTGCTACTTGGGATATAGTTTGAAAGTATAAAAATTACTAGTTAATAAGTTAACGATAAGGAAAAGAGCGATATGAAAATTTGAGGAAGAGTTCATATCAAGTAAACCTTTCAAGTTTTTGTCGGTTCGACTAACAGCACTATTGTACCTTCTAACATCGTGTGCAATTCTGTTCGCTTTCTCTATGCTATCTTTCTAACACGACTACTTCTGCCTTTCACTCTAACATATCTTCGTTCTTCGTTAACTTAACTTATTTAATAAGTTATTGTCATACTAAACAGTTATATGATATATCCATACTACCCTTCGGGCATTTGTTTTTGAAAGTTACGTTCTAAATGTCTTTTAAACGTTTTTTAAATGTCTTTTAAACGTTCTTTTCGTAAGAATGTTTAAAAGACGTTTAAAAGACATTTAAAATACATTTAGAACGTAACTTTTAAAAACAAATGCTTAAAGGATATGGTCGCTCTCCTTGTTTTAGCTAAGCTATGAGAGAGTGAACCATTCATTATATAGATTCTATCTATATTTTTTTAACGTTAAATTTAGGTTGAAAACAAGTTTTATAAAACAAGTTTATGTATTACATCTATATTTTTTGTAATTATAATGCTATTGCTGTTGTTGTTAAAAAAAAGTTACAGTTGTATTCATAGAATAAATAATTTAACGTATAGCAGTATAAAATTATTTTTTTGGCAATGACAAACATAATCTGAAATCTTTTGCAATAATAAAAACGCCATTTTTTAATATTATTAGATGATTTAAAGTTACGTCAAACTTAAGTCAGAAAATAGCTGACGTAACTTTTCTTGCGCAAAGTTTGGAGAGCACTTTTTAGGAAAATAATGTGAGTAATAGTTTTCTAGACTTTTTGCGTAAATAATAACTTACAAGAAAACTTAAGAACTTTGCAAGGTTACGCAAAGTTTGTGAATATGACTTAGCGTAATTTTAATCTTCTGCAAAACTTACGCAAGCTTTAGTCAAATTTTGAAATTACGAAAGTGTTGTAAATCCGCACCATGTTTTTTAAGCACACTAAGTACTCTCCTCGTAGAGTACGGTATTATAATCTACTTATTTACAGCGTAGTCAACTAAGTCGCTCATTCGTAGAACAAATCTTGCGCACAGTCCATTTTGAAAATGAACCATTACTTCGTGGTTGCATGTATGTCTCAAAAGATAAAGAATCATCACACACTTAAACAGATAAAAAAAATTATTACACACTTACACAGATAATGGTCTCTACCAAAGATGCACACCAAATATTTCAAAATTAAAATGTTTAACAAAGCTTACGAATAGTGAATTTATTTTTAGCCACACCAGTTATGAATTATGTGACGTTTGAGGAAGTGTACCAACAATTACAAATTAATTGTCCCATTTCCCAGTGACATAAAATTCCAAGTGTCATGAAGACTGCTACTTAACTCGTAACATTTTTCATAGTAACAAATTTTGCTTAAAAATTAGTAAAAAATTACGCTTTTTTCGCTGCTTAAAGAAAATAAAATAAAAAATCGTTAATAGTATTAATAGTTATTTATATTAAAATAATTTATATTTATTAAACATGTCTATCACACTTGTTGAAGTTAAAAAATTAATAACGGAAATGTTTATGCAGATCGAGACAGAAGAAATGCTTAAGTAACAAGAAAACACTTTGATCAACATATTTCTGACACAAAAATATTAAATGACCGATTAGACAGAGTTGAACTTAACATCCTTCAAAACTCAACCAAAATATCACCAATTGCAAAGGATGTAAAAGAAATAAAAGAAAGTTTAAATTTTTTGGAAGATCTTTTCCATAAAAAATAAAAATCGCCATCGATTGTCTGGCAAAAGAAAATCTGGCAAACATCAAAATACAAAAGATAACAAACTCAGAGAGATTGAGGATATGTCAAGGCATAAAAATCTAAGAATCGATGGTGTCCCTGGAAATGACAATGAAAGCTCGGCTAAAAGTGAAAAAAAGGTAAAAGAAATATTCAACAACATATTAGGAGTCAATAATGTAAACATTGAAAGAGCACATAGAATAAGCAAAGTAGTTCACAACAAACATTGAACAATAATCCTAAAACTACTGGATTTTAAAGATAAAACAGAAATTTTTAACAACTCTTCCAAATTAAAATGTAAAAACATTTTCATATATGAAGATTACTGTAAGGAAACGAATGTTTACGAAAGACGCTACGAGAAAAAACAAACATCGAAAGACAAGCTGGTAAATACGCGTCTATTTCATACGACAAACTTATTGTTCGGAATTAGAATTCCAACAAAAGTAATATCTTATCTTTTTAATTTTGGTATGCAATAAGTTAATCGCTCCCTACAGGCATTTATTTTTAAAAGTTACGTTCTAAATGTCTTTTAAACAGTTTTTAAACGTCTTTTAAACGTTCTTTGCGTAAGAATGTTTATAAGACGTTTATAAACCGTTTAAAAGACATTTAGGGTGGAATGCAAGAAGCGAACTTGAGTCAAGCTCGACTTGAACTTTACATTGCAACCTATAGCGACAGAGTTTGGGTTTTCCCTCAAAAAATACTCTGCCGCTATTGGTTACAAAGTAAAGTTCAAGCCGAACTTGACTCAAGTTTGCTTCTTGCATTAGAACGTAACTTTTCTAAACGACTATGAAAATATTTACTGTATTAGGCATCCTATACTTTTTTACTATATAAAAGTTAAGAAATATTAAAAATGAGACTATTGTCTATTAAGCTTGTTTGTTATCCAAAACTGGATAGAAACTCTTTTTGCACCACAATAGTCCTAAACTTTTAGAAATCTTTACATAAGTGGTTACTGCAAATAAAATCAGTCAAAGCTGCAGGCATGCGGCCTAAAATAATTTTATTTTATCGTTTGTTGCGCTTTCTTGTGGAGACTTGCTCAAAGTGGAGACTTTTTAATATGAACATAAAAAATATTTGTTGGCTTTAATACATTCATTCATCATCATTAATAACATAAATAACATTTTAACAATTTTTTTAATAAGTAGCTAAAAAAGAGAATTATAAAAACCGATCACGTCCCGATTTTTTTTTTTTTTATATGTATTAATTTAAAAAAAGAAAAGTAGCAAAAGGTTTTTATAAAAAAACGACTTATCCACAATAATAGTTTTAATTCTTTCAGAGAACAATTATCTCTCATAGATTGAAGTTATATTAACTTTAAAGATAATATCAACATTATCTACGACATTTTTTTCAAAACGTTTTACCAAGTGTACGATTCCAATTTTCCTATAATTGAAATAGTTTTAAGCGATAAAGAAGTGTCACCTCCTTGGATTACTAAAGGTGTCAGAAAATCGTCAAAAATTAAGCAGAAACTATACATTAAATATCTAAATTCGAAATTAGAAAAGCATAAACAAAATTATAAAATTTATAAAAACTTATTTGAAAAGCTTCGCAAAAATGCAAAAAAAGCTACCTTTTAAGCTTGCTTAATAAATATAACCCAGTGAACATGTCCTATTGGGGCCCAAATGGGTCTGCCCAAGTGGGCCCTATGTGGGCTTTATATATTGGCGTAAAATGGGCCCCATGTGGGCTAGCCCTTGAATACAAAATATTTGTATGCAAGGGCTTGCCCACATGGGGCTTATTTAGGGCCCACATATATGTAGTTAAAAAAGCGTTAAATTTTTTTTACAGAATTAGAAACCCCATTAAATTAGTTCCCGAAATACAAAAATATTTTTGAAAATTTGCTTGGGGTTTCTCATTTTCGTTAAAAAAACGAGTACGTACTTCACGACAAATAAATAAGACAATAAATGCGAACGACTTTTTAAGTATTTTTCTAGTATATGTAGTATTTCATTAGTATTTTCTTTGTTATCGTTTTCGTGTTCGAAAAAAAACATACACTAAAAATATTAGTACTTAATCGGCCTTGCCGTTTTCTAGTTCCTGTGTTTCTTAAATGACCGATCTGTCTTTCTCTATGCTATCTTTCTAACTCTAATATATTTTTCTTTCTCGAAAATATCTTCTTTTTCCCCAACAATCTTAACCCGTACAAAAACCAGGGTGCTCAGAAAGGAGAATACTGGTTAAATGTGCGCGCAATGGTATGAGGTACTTCGCTAGGTAATTAGCTGGAGGAGTATAAATCACAATACCGCATTTGCTTTATAAAAACCTCCTCACGTTTCTCAATTGTAATTACGTCTCAAAACTTTTCTCAAATTTTAAACTAAATTCAAATTAATTCTTTTTTGAAAAATCTTCTTTTTATTTAAATTCAAATTATTTTAAAGACTCCGTAATAGTGCCGTTAATATCATGCAAAATAGTAATTTTTTTAAATATTTCAACTTATTGCACATCCTAACATCGGGTGCAATCCTGTCCGCTTTTTCTATGCTATCTTCTTCTGTCGACTTCTTCTTCTGTCTTTCACGACTTCTTCTGTCTTTCACTTTAACATATCTTCGTTCTTCCTAAACTCACATAACTCTTGATCTGTAGAGCGGGTTATGACGCTCCAACTAGCCGGAGGAGGATAAACCACAAGTATATTGATTGTTTTCGTTCTTATACGCGTGTTTAGCATATCTGGATAAGGTGTTAACTAAAACAAAATTTATAATAATAAATTACTTAATATTAGAATGTATCTACCTTTAACCTTTAAATCACAATACAAAAAAAAAAATTAATAACTAATTTAATACTAGAATGTATCTAACTTTA